TCTAGAGTCCATGCTTTTAACCACTGTCCTCTACCGCTTCTTTTTTTTTAAAAAAAAAATATATTTTATTGATTTTTTACGGAGAGGAAGGGAGAGGGATAGTTAGAAACATCGATGAGAGAGAAACATCAATCAGCTGCCTCCTGCACACCTCCTACTGGGGATGTGCCTGCAACCAAGGTACATGCCCTTGACCGGAATTGAACCTGGGACCCTTGAGTCCGCAGGCCGAAGCTCTATCCACTGAGCCAAACCGGTTAGGGCTCTACCGCTTCTTAAGTACCCAGTACCTGCTTTTCTCAGGCTGTGAACAAAGCAAAGTCCAGGTCCTCATGGTACTTGCATGTGGTGATGGTGGCTAGTGGGCTGATAGTTTTGGGTGCTTCATACACATGGGGGTGGGGAGGACAGAGAATTTAGGAAGGGCCTTGAAGTTGAGGCCTAAGGATTAGTACCTCCTTGTGGAGGAAGTGGGGAGCCATGAGAATCGCCTTAACAAGAGGTGCTGGTCAGATGTTTGGAAGAGCCCTTATCTGGGCGTTCCCCTGCCAGCATTTCCTCTCTAGCCTTGCAAACACCGGCATCTCCCTTGAAGCCAACGGACCTGGGCCCCCATACATTTTTAATTCCTCTTCCTTCAGTTTGGGACAGAACCTCTTCTGCCCTTTACATGCTTCTACCTAACACCTTTATATACGCAATTTCTAATCCAGGGGGATGGAGGAATGATGGCTCAGAGAGAAGCATGGTACGGACCTAGGGCGCTCAGCCCATCTGCCTATTTCTGACCTTCCTCCCATTCCCCCCACCTTTTCTCCCCCAGACCTGAAGGCCTCCATTCACGCCAGTGGTCTGGCAGCCAGGACTCCCAGATGGGCTTCCCCCGGGTGGACCCGGCCTCGGACCACCGCGCCTCGCTCTTTGCAGCTCGCACCCGTCGCAGCAATAGCTCTGAGGCCCTCCTAGTGGACCGGGCAGCTGCGGGTGGAGCTGGCTCCCCACCTGTGCCTCTGGCTCCCCCTGCCCCTGGTCCCCCAGTCTGCAAGAGCAGCGAGGTGCTGTATGAGCGCCCCCAACCAGTTCCTGCCTTCTCCTCCCGCACAGCTGGCCCCCCAGATCCTCCCTGGGCTGCCCAGCCAAGCTCAGCTGCCCCTGCCTCCCGTGGGGCCCCCCGGCTCCCACCTATGTGCGGGGACTTCCTCTTGGACTATTCCCTGGACCGGGGCCTGCCCCGAGGTATTGGTGGGCCAGGCTGGGGGGAGCTGCTGCCTGCAGCTGAGGTCCCAGGACCCTTCTCCCGCCGGGATGGGCTCCTCGCCATGTTCCCAGGCCCACCACCCATGTATGCAGCTGACGGCAGCAGCCCCCTCCTCCGCAGCAAGGACCCTCACACCCGGGCCACACGCACCAAGCCCTGTGGCCTGCCCCTGGATGCCGCAGAGGGTCCAGAGGTGCATCCAAACCCCCTGCTGTGGATGCCCCCACCCACCCGTATCCCTCCAGCTGGTGAGCGCAGTGGCCACAAGAACCTTGCCCTGGAGGGGCTACGGGACTGGTACATCCGGAACTCGGGACTGGCCTCGGGGCCCCAGCGCCGGCCTGTGCTGTCCCACATGGGCCCGCAACACCCACCCTTCCTCCACGCCCGCTGCTATGAGGTGGGCCAGGCGCTGTATGGGCCCCCCAGCCAGGCACCCCTCCCGCATTCGAGGAGTTTCACGGCGCCCCCTGTCTCCGGCAGGTATGGGGGGTGCTTTTACTGATGGGTAGGGGGTCTCTTCAGGTAGAGGGCAAAGGTCTCTGGGCTAAAAGGGGGTGAGCGCCAATGACTTGGACCATGAGTGCTGGCTGCAGCCTTAGCACAGGGTCTCTGGGCCCTGCCTGACGTACATTAGTCCATGGGGTCTTGGTGGAGGGGTATCTTGGGCCCTGGGAGCAGCAGTTCCTTGCAAAGATATAGAAGAATTTTAATAATTTAACAAGCAGTGCATGTCAGCTGAAAATGGACCTTGGAACCAGGGTGCTGGGAGGAAGGGACATCCTGTGCCCTTGCCTTTCTCTTCCTCTTTTAACCACGCCCCCTGCTTGCCAGCCTCAAGGTGCTGTCCTGTGCCTCTCTCCACCTCTTTAACGAGCCTCTTTTCCTCTCTCTTTCTGTGTCTTGTACGTCTTTTCCTCTCTTCTCTGTCTTCCCACCCTGTCCTCCGGATTCCTGCTACCCCTTCCAAAGATACTACGCGGACTTCCTGTACCCCCCGGAGCTGAGCGCTCGTTTAAGTGACCTGACGCTAGAGGGGGAGCAGTCCTCCAGTTCTGACCCTCAGACCCCGGGGACACTGGTCTGACCCCTTCTGATACGCTCCTTGTTGGCCTGGGCATGACTCCAGTCTGGGGAGCACACGCTGACCTCGCTGAGCCCTGGGGTACGGTTGCTCTTAGTCCTGGGCAGGGGGCACCAACCTGATCTTCCAAGGCCCCCAGCTCCCTGTGGGCCCATGAAGGTGTCTGATACCCCGCTTCTACTCTCATACTGTGCTGAGAACTGGGGGCCCTCAGCCAGCTTAAAAGTGGGGGATGGTATAATGGGGGCTCCAAGCCCCTTCCTCCATTTCTGTTTACAGTTGTGATTTAGGTTTTCACTGTCTTTCCCCAACACTAGACGTTTTATAAAAGGGAAACTGTGATCTTGTCTGGTTGGGTTCATTCCTGTCCCATGCCCAGCCTGTTCCATTCAGGAACCCCTCCCATGAAATGGACCATATAGTCACATGGCCCTGTTCCGGGCAGCTAGGGACTCTGGTGTGAACAGATCTCTCTGCCATCCCCCACCAGGGTAGTTCTTGGGGAGGTGAGCTCTCTGCCCACATTTGGTGGGGGGCTTGGGTTCATCTTCCCACCCCAGGGGTGTAGGAAGGAGCCCCAGTCCCTGCCTGCCTGTCTGTGCCCGCTTCCTCTGCCCCCAGGGTGAGATGACCCAGCCTTTGGTGGCAGCCTCTACCCTATCCCCATTCTGGGGGCTCCACAGGAGGGTCCAAGGACAGAGCCATCAGGCGTGTTGTGTCCTGGGATGCTTCCGTGGTGGAACCTGGCACCTGATAGATGCCAGTAAAATCCTCAGGTGACGCCTGGCCACAGGCTGCGTCACATCTTCCTTGACTTTCCTTCCATCCACCACTTTTTAAACAAATCTACACAAGCTGTGTTTTCTATGATACTTGTCTGTGACTTTCTGGAGCTGGGGGTCAACATATCCCCTTTACCTGGTGTTCAAACTTTTCTTTTTATATCAACCGATCTGGGCCCAAGACGCTACCCACACTGGAAGAGGATTTTTAGAATAAATGTGTAAACCAAACCCACGTGTGGCTCTTCTCCCTGCCTTGCCTTGGGGCCCACACCCATAGTTCAGACCAGATATGTTTTTATAACACCATGTTATGAAAAAATAGAACACCAGGGAAACAGCCTGTGATAATGTCATCTGCTTTGGCTTTACTGGTTTTGTGATGTGGGGCAACTTCTTGGCCTGTCTGTGGCCAGATTTCTAGCCTATGCCGAACAAGAGCCCTTAGTAATACAAATGAAAATGGGAACACTGCATGCCCTTAACTCCCTGTGTGTAAATGCCAGAGACGAACAAGTTCCTGGGAGGAGAGATCACCCCATCAGCCCACATATTTGACAGAGACCAACCCAGTCATAAAGAATCTAGCAGAATTGAAAAGCAGAGGCCACTATGATAGGCCCAATTGGCTTGAGCGATGTAACAGCTTTTATTGTTGCAATAACACTGACATATATGCCTCATTCCAGGTCAGCGCTACCCCCACCCCATGGTCCTCACCACCGTGGAATTTGTGTGTGTGTGTTTGGGGGGGGGGGGGAGGGGCAGAATCCCTAAGCAGAGCTGAAGGGAGGCAAATGGGACTGGTGAGTGTTGGGGTTACTGGGGACCAAGGGTTCAACAGGATCAGGATACCTGACTTCTACCCAGAGGGGACTGAGAACACTTTGGTCCTGGGGTCAAGATTTGGCAATGCCTTGTTCTGGGTTCAAAGCTGGGGTGTGGTCTGGAAAAGCCTCGATCTAAGATTCAAGATTTGAGAATGTCTCGGTCCCACACCCCAGCTTTGGGACTGAGCAAGGGAGACAAGTGGGTCCTAGATTAGGTTTGTGGGAGGGTTCCATCCAGAATTTGATATTGGCCATGGATGCTCCAATCTCTAAGCCCCACTTCTGGGCTGGATGGATGAGTGGCTCTGTGTCTCAAGTTCAGGGCTGGGGAAGACTCTGATCCCCTAGGCAATGGGGACTGGGTATGAGGGATATCCTAGTTTTGGATCTAGGGGTGGGGTAGGGGGAGCATTACAGATGCCCTGCCTTTTTTAACTGGACAAGAGGCTCCTATTTTAAGGACTGGGGAAAGGCTCTAAATCCCAGTTATGGGTTGGGGTTGGGGTTGGGATTCTCCAGGTCATGGGTACAGATAGATCCCAAGGCCCTAGGATCCAGCCTCCTGCTCTTGTCCCAGCGCTTCCAGTAGCAGCCCCATTGGTGTCCGCTTGAGACCAATGCTCTCAATCTTGTTCTCTATCTTGTTCTTGAGGTTGCGCAGGCGCAGCGAGGCATGCACCAGGATCACTGTGGGCAATACCAAAAGGAGTGGGGTCAGTGGAATGGGACATCAGCCTTTAGCCAATGGGGGCCCACAGAGGAACTGGAGTGGTCAGGCCAATAGAATGGTCAGTGGACAGGACACCTCTGATCCTGAAACTGTGGCTGAGGAACACTTTGTAACAGGGTTGTGGCCGGGGGAGGGCTGGTGGTAACCGGGATGTGGCTGGTGGAAGGCACTTAGTACCAGGAGTGAGGCCCGGAAAGGCGGTATTAAGAGTTGTTCCCAGAAGAGGAGAACTTAGCCAAGGAAGGTGCTTTGTAAAGGGGTGTGGCCTTGCCCGCCAAGTCTCCCAGCCCCCCCTCCTCCCCAAGAACCAGGGCAGGGCCGGCCTGGCGCCACGCGCACGCGCTGGCCTTGTTCCCGGGTATTTCAGGGTAGGGGAGACTCACGAAGCACTGGCCCGGCAATGCTGAGCAGGAAAGTGCAAGCGCCGCCCACCGCCCAGAGGACCAGGAGGCCAACG